TTTTTATCTGGTCGTTATAGTAGTATTTACAAATTTTCTTTCAGGCCTATATCGCTCGAATAGATCCAGACCATCATCTTGGCCTGCACTGCTCTGAAAGTGTGATTGGCTATCAGATGGGTGAGGTGGTTCGCGAGAAGGGTGCCACTCCACCGGATCATGTTCCCGGAGACGTCTTAGCTCCAACGACAACCGTTAGAATGTTCTTAAGGGGTAAGTATACAAGATATTCAAACTGGATTCACCCATTCTGGATCGGTACTCTCAGGGACCGTTTGCAGCAGTGCTGCGGATGGGTGCCCAAAACTTTACATCTCTGGATGCATCCCCTACTCTTGACCATGACGGCGTGACCCATGCTTGGCCGGGTACTGCTGAACACAGCCTCAGAACTCTGCTGTCGCACGGATCGTTTATACTAACACTGTACAGCAGACTCTGAAGGCACTTCGATATGAACACATGCGAAAAGGGACGGCGCCTGTGGGCGTAGAGGCTCTGCGACTATCGCGGAAATTGCCTAGTGATAATGAAAGGCATAAAGGATGAATCATTCGGTGCTAATTAATCTGTTTCGGGATGCGCCATGCTTTCCTTCCATCTAGAATCGTAGCGGCATTTGAATGCGGCTTTCTGATCAGAATGCCTCTACGATTCTAAGTCAAAAATATTAGTAAATCGAATGATTTGCAAATAATTAACATTTAAACTTCACAATTTTAAGGTGCTGCTCAACATGCTGTGGATTCGCTTGTACTCGAGTGCCTCTTTCCTCGAACAATGCTCGAACAATTGCTCAAATTCTTGCTGTCTCATAGACGTTTAGTGCTTTCTGGAGCCACCGGAATCGGGAAAGTAAGTGGATGTTCTCTTTTTATGTCCATTTTTTTCAAGGTGTTAGGAACAGCTGTTGAAAGGTAGCAGTAAAGATGTGCTATGACTACCAAAAAGTCTGTCACTGTTCAGTTCGCTTTTTCATTTCCCGGTATTCTTCACGCTGCAAAAAATTCTGTGGGATTTCGAGGGGGTACCGTTCCGTCGTGGACATTCTAAGGCCAAGTGGACTTATTTGATGTAAAGATATTGCTGGGGTAGACGTGCTGGTGAGCCTCTCGTTCATCAGCTGGAGCAGGTCTGGGTTATGCCCTCCTCAAAGGCTGCTTATAAATTGTTCATTCCTGTTCTTGAAATGAAAGAAAATCTTTGAATTCGCAGATTCGTCCTCTTACACTAGGTGTTCGATCTGTTAGGAAAGACTACCAGATTCTCGACCTCATTAGCCCAACCTACGAAAGGTCTTCCCCAAAAAGCATGGTGACTGGGTATGCAGTGCTGCACTACACTTTGAGTGCGGTCGTCAAGGAAACATTTCTCTGGAGAATTACCTAATCACTATTGCTTTCCGAAAGCTATTCCATAGTTTTGAATGACCTCTCTCCATGGCTTCAGTTATGGCTGCCTATTGAACTTAAAGTAATATGTGGAGCATTTTTTCGTCATGCACCTGCAAAAAATATTTTTTGACAAGCTTACTTGCTTAGTAGAAGACGGACTGAACATTTTTACAAGGATTCTCACCTGACTTTCGAGCGAAACTCATCGCCTCAGGTGAGAATCCTTCTCTGGACAAGTGCAGCTGGAGCGAAGAGTTTTGTTCATAATTCAGAATTATTGTGACAACTTCGCCCTGCGAACTAAGGCTAAAAGCAGCAGCTACAAAAACAAGAACTACATAGAGTTCATGATTCATTGTTCAGAGTAATCTCGCTCGTCAACTCGCAACTTACCTCTCCGTCAGAATTGGTCTTGACCGCAACGGAGTTGTCGACGTGCGAATACCCGAGGACACAAGTGACAAGGAAATTGTTAAGGTAAAGCACTTCTCACACGTTCCTGTCGATTTGTGGAATATAACTAGGCTTTATTCTGCTTACTGTCATAAATGATTCCTCTAATGTGCTCACATCTCGTACGGTCGCTGGATACACCCTTTATTCTTTCACACAATTTGCGCCCGCCCTTGTGAATCCGCTGTGAAAAAGGGTTAGGCTAACTAAAGCTACCCTCATTATCGCTCACGGATGTGGCTCATGA